GGCTTGGGCATCTGTTTAGGATGCCTTCTGGACGCCTCCCTGGTGAGCTGTTCCGGACACGTCCCACCGGAAGGAGGCCCAGAGGAAGACCCAGGACACGCTGGAGGGACTATGTTTCTCGGCTGGCCTGGGAACGCCTCGGGATTCCCCCGGAAGAGCTGGCCCAAGTGGCTGGGGAGAGGGAAGTCTGGGCCTCCCTACTTAGGCTGCTACCCTGCGACCCGACCCCGGATAAGCGGAAGAAAATAGATGGATGGATATTTAATGAAGCTTAACATGAAGTCTGTTGAGCTACAAACTGTCATTTCAGTTTCTTATTACCGTAAATGTCATGTTAATCAATAAAAGCAACATTTTGATTTTTTTAAAGTTTCTTTTGCAGATCGATGTCTGAGATATACTCATTCACTCACAGCTAATTTAAACACACTTTAAATTATCTTGTTTATTTATGCAGTGCCAGACTGACTTTGTTCTAATAAGGATAAACCTACTGGTAGATACATCTTAAGTTAGGTAGTAGAAACTTAAAAAAAAAAAATATTTTTTATGGTTTAGATTTAGGAGCACAAATCTTAACATTTTGCACCTATTATGCAAACTATGGTTCAAAATCAGAGTTACAGTGGTGCTGGAAAGTTTGTGAAGCCTTTAGTTTTCTATATTTTTGCATAAATATGACTTAAAATATCATCAGATTTTCACACACATCCTAAAAGTAGATAAAGAGAACCCAGTTAAACAAACCACCATCACAGACATCTACACCTCCAGATGCAGGAAGAGGGCCACCTGTATCATGAAGGACACCACTCACCCAGCACACACACTCTCCTCAGGAAGGAGGTTGAGGAGCATTAAGTGTAGAACCACTAGAATGAGGAACAGCTTCTACCCTGAGGCTGTTAGACTCATGAATCTCTAACCAGAATAATCACTGTGGAAAAAAATCACATCATGTTGCTGCTGATCTGTTTCAATGTTGCTGCTGATCTGTTTCATGTTCATGTGTTCATTCATCTGCTCACACAGACTCATGCTCATGTTCGTGCTGCTGTTCCACGTAATGTTTTTATGCCATTAGTGCTTAGTGTATATTTAGTTAATGTTTTTCTCAGTTCATATCTTAGATGTTTATTGTTGGATGTAACTGGGACCCTGTGTACATAATTTCACTCCACCACATGTACCACGTGTGATGCAAACGACAATAAAGAATCTCTGACTCTATTTCTTGCTTTTGACTCTCCTGACTGTTTTCTCTGTTACTGTCAACTCCTGTCTCTGTATTCTCATCATCACAAGGATTTATTAAACTTTAGAAACAAGGCAACAGATTTTTTCCATCCAAGATGAAAAGTGATCAGTCTGACAGTTTGTAGCGTTTTCTGATTCTTTATCAACATTTACTGTCATCTCTTTTTTGTTTTACCTCAGGGTCGTCTACAGGAATTGACTGAACTTCAAAGTTCATTTAGACCGCTGCAGTCTCTGGAAGCAGGAAGTGGATCGTTGTTCCAGTGATCCACTTCCTGCATTTATCTCAGCGTTTCATATCATGCAACCTCCCTCTCTACTGCTGAGTCTTTGTTCAATATAGTTTAACCGTAGCCTTTATTTCTGACCTTTGTGCTTCCTCTTACTGTACCTTCCAGATGCACTGAGCACAAGGACCCATCAGGTCATGTGCACAACCATAAAAGTCCTGCAGCACCTGGTGGTGTCTGCAGACAAGGTGGGAGAGGCTCTGGTGCCTTACTTTAGACCGATCCTGACTTTGAACATGGTCAAGAAGAAAAACAATGAGTTTTACAGAACATTTTCCAATGTTACTTTTTTATTATTTTTTCCAATAGATGCTGGTGTAGACAACAGAAATGGAGCTTTTCTGAAAAAAAAATGAAGCAACAGCCTCATTTGCTTATGCCTACTTCAGAACACACAATATAGAGCCTTTAAAAAATGTAATTTTTTTTATTTT